CCTGGATTCCCTGTGTTTCCAGTTCCTAACCAGACTTTTTTTTTAATGAATTGGTATACAGATATAAAAAATGAAGATCACAGTATGAAAAATCTTGAGATTTAGGAAATGCCAAGGTAGAGGTAAAAGGACATTAGTTTTAGAGAGCGGACAAGAGGTAAACATTGGTAGGTACCGATGTAGGAATGGTAGTTGAAGATAAGACCTTAAACTCTCTAAAGGAAAGTATGGATAGGGATAAGAAAGGGGCCCCTGCTTAAAAAATACAATGAGCTATAGCTTTTATTTAGCTACCATATGCACTCGAGTATAAGCCGACCCGAATATCAGCCGTGGCATCTAATTTCACCACAAAAACTTCATTAAAAATGTGCTGGAAAACTCCACTTATACACAGGTATATCTGGTAGTTAGAAAATCAAAGGAAGGAAATATTCCATTGAGCTGCAAAACCTAGAAAAGATCTACTCAAGTGTATAGAAAATACTATCCATCAGTTAATAAAGCTAAATTGTTTTCAAGTTACTTAAAAAGGAAGATTTGAATAAGCGGAGTAATAGATCAGAAGACTTGATTATTTAAAGATGTTAGTTTTCCCCAAATCCATAAATTCAAAGCAGTTTCTAAAAATCCCCAAACGATCATTCGAGGAAAGAATGTAGAAGTTCCTCTAGAAGGGTTGTGAGAAAAAGCAGAACGTTCTGAAACAGAAGAGCAATGGGGACATTAGCTCTCTCAAATATTACAACACGACATAAGAGCTTAGAGGACTGGACCTGGTACCAAGCCAAGCTCCAAACTCACCACCTTCGGGTCAGTGCTCATAGCGACCCGATAGCACCACGGAGGACGTCCCTGTGGGTTTCTGACACGAACTTTTTGTTTAAGACAAAATTTCATTTATTTTTAATCAGAAATATATTACGCAATACATAATTACATATTGTTTTGTGTTTAGCCACTATGCTTTCATTATGTTCAATTTGTAGCAGGGAAAATACATCCTGCTTATCATCTTGACATGACGATTCATCACAGGAGCAAAATGACAGTGATGAAGTAGCAATGAAAATAATTTTATGGTTGGGGGTCAGCACAGCATGAGGAACTATATGAAAGGGTCGCAGCAATGGGAAGGTTGAGAACCACTGATCTAGTCCAAGCTTCCGAGCATGAGCAGGAGTGAGTGGTGAGCCAGTCTGCCTGGGATCTCAGGAGCCCGGGGAAGCCCACCTAACAGAACCCCCTGGGCCCACTGGCTAAGGACCTTCCGCATTTCTGCAGCCTGAAACTCACGGCCATCTAGTTGATTCTGACTCCCAACGACCCTAACAGATACAGCAGAACTGCCCCTGGGGTTTCCAAGAATGTAACTCTCTTTTTGGTTTGTTTTATCAACTCCACAGAAACTCATGAATCAAACTTGTTACTTCATAAATAGTACTGTTCAGCTTGGAACCAGACTTTTTAAAAAAATCATTTTATTGGGGCTCGTACAACACTTACCACAATCCATACAACCATCCATTGTACCAAGCACATTTGTACATTTGTTGCCCTCATCATTCTCAAAACATTTGCTTTCTGCTTGAGCCTTTAGTATCAGCTCCTCATTTGCCCCCTCTCC